GTTTTGTTGGTGCATCTTTCTACTCACATTTGGTCATCTATTTATAGTGCTAAAATTTGCAAGTTTCTGCCCTTAAAAATCAGAAAGTAAATCTCCCACTTGATTAGATTAAATCTTCCGTTAGTGGCCAAATTTAAGGATTTCAAGTATTGGACTCTTTCTTCTCTTGACTTGGTAATAATCTTTATCCTAACTACGAGTAATACACAACTAAGTCAAAATTTAACTTTTACTTATAAACTTAGTAAAATTTAATTATATAGTAAAATCTTTTTGAAATATATTTGTTTTGTTCAACATTGAGAAGGTCACCTCTCGAAGTTGCGATACGGGTCTTTCGAAATATTATATAACTTTCCGAGCAGCTGCAGGCAGCACCAGCGAAACATTTCTATGTAAATATGTGTCCGCTAGTCGACCTGATTTGGAGCATTTGTCAGGGATAAAACATTGCGAGCTGAAGCGTGTGTTCCTCTCCAGATGGAAAGAAGCAGAAGCTAGTGGTGTGCATTGCAAACTTCCGTGCTGCATCCCGAGCTAAACTTCGATCGCCTTCAAGTGTGTTATGATTTCAAATTTGTGCCTTTCCTGCTCTCGATCGGATTTTAGTAACTGGTGTATATTACCTGATCCGCATGCTGCTTTGAAGCTTTTGAGCTAGTGTTTCCTTGAAAATGTGAAGCTAAACTGTTGCTTAAATTATTGGGAAGGATCTTATTGTAGTAATGAAAAAATTTATTGGCTTTATTTAATTACTACTTCTTTACCTTTTTTGTTGTGTTTAAATGGAGATTCTATTGTTTCCATGCTATCAGTTTGGTTTAGTTTGATGCCATTCAGGAAGGCACTTGCCACCAAGGTTCATTTTGCTCTTCCTTTTCTTAATATTTTGGTTAGGCACAATCACCTAGCTAGGATTTCCGGCAATGTGAAGAAGCCTCCGTTATAGACCTGGAACCGTAGCTCTCTGGGAGTTCCGGAAATATCAGAAAAGCACTGAGCTTTTGATCCGCAAGCTCCCTTCCCAACTCGTCCGCGAAATTGACCAGGCTTTCAAAGTAACTTTGTTTTGTCATCTTTTAATTCTTCTGAGGTTATGATCGAATTATGAACCTTGATCAGACTTGCATGGAATTAAGGTAAATTATGTATTCGTCATTAAATGGTTATTGGTTCCTTTCTCTCGAAATCGCAAACAGATTTGAGGTTCCAAACTCCAAAGTCACGCGGTTTTGGCGTTGCAAGAAGCTGGGGAGGCGTACTTGTTGTGCCATTCATGCTAAGAGGCTTACGACTATGCACAAGGAAGTCTAGCTTGCCTGTCGTATGCGGTGTTTTATGTCGCAGCGGCTGAGGGCGAACGAAACAAAGATCTTGTCTCGTGATGCTAACCACAGTAATATTTTGTTGTTTTGTTAGGTGATAAATCATACCTGTCGTCCCAGCATTTACAAGCAGTATTGAATTCATTTCAATCTACGAAGATGTCGAGCTTTGGCAACCAACATTGTTAAATCTAATTCTTATAAATATCATCCAATCTAGTTGATTTTTTATTTACATAATCAATTAGAGATTGTTGAGAGAAGGTACCGATCTTTAGCAAATCCGGTCCACACGAGATCGGCCGATCGCAGCAATAAATATATGGGTGACGAGATCAACGAGCCCACAATAAGCCGTCAGCGAAAGGGCGATGATCGATAATTTGAATTGAAGAAGGAATCGTCGACGTTACAATCCTTGTCAAAGAAGGATTCCAACCGCAACAAAAGTCCTTATCATATTCAACTTGTGTTCCGTATCGACTAGGGTTGCCGGATCATCTATAACAGCTGTGGAGGAGAGAAGGCAACACACACACAATTCATCATACAAAATCATATTCTTAGTTCCTTTATAGCTTTTATCATTTATTTTCTTTAAGCTTTTCATATATTTCTTTACTCTTCCGTATTAATTCTTGTAAGCTTTCCGACGTTTCTGGCTATTTATAGCCGATTCGTTTCTATCAATTCAGTAAAGCTGGCCCTTATTGGTCGTTTTATTCATCTTCTTAAAGTTCTTCATTGTTTCGTCATCAAACACTTAAACATTCAAGCTTATTGCAAGTTGAAGGTATTGGCATCTTTTGAGAATTCTAACGATTGGACTCTGGATTTCGAGAATATCACACAGTCGTTTGAAATTAGTTTGAGCCGAGTTGGACTTCACTTTCAAATACAATTTTGACTCAATGCTTTGAGCGTATGCATAAATATCAGTTAAAGTTAAACCCATTAAAATGCATTTGCAGTGACATCAGGTATATTTTTGGGTTTCTTAGTTCATTCCAGGGGCATTGAAGTGGATGCTGAAAAGGCCAAGGCGATTATAGAAGCTAGACCTCCACGGACAAAGAAAGAGTTACAAAGTCTAATCGGCAAAGTTAATTTCCTTCGCCGATTCATTTGCAACTTATATAAGAAGTTGAAGCCATTCTCTCCACTTTTGAAGGTTCAAGCGGCCGAAGATTTTGTGGGGAAAGAAGAGCAACAAGAAGCGTTCCAAGATATCAAGCTGGCTTTATCCACTTTTCCAGTTTTGGTTGCACCTATAAAGAATAAGCCATTAAAACTTTACTTGTTGGCGACTGAAGAATCATTGGGTTGTTTATTAGCCCAGGATGGCCATGACGGATTCAGAAGAGTCGTTTACTATTTGAGCCGCATGCTTACCAACACAAAACGCAGATATCCTCCAATTGAGAAGCTGTGTTTGGCATTGTAATTTGCTGCGACCATGTTACGCCACTATATGCTTCCTGGTTTAGTCTGCGTAATCAGCAAAGTCAACCTGGTCCGTTACATGTTGCACTAACCAACATGAGTGGCAAAATAGGAAAACGGGTACTGGCCTTGATGGAGTATCAATTTCAACATGTACCCCAGTCATCGGTAAAGCGGTAAGCGCTAGCAGATTTCTTGGCTACACATCCCTCACTTGACGACGATTGGGATGGCGAATTCCTTGAGTCGTTCCAAGTGCACCATGCTAAAAAACCTCTATGGAGGGTACATTTTGAGGGATTTAGAACTTTCACACGTAGCGTCGCAAGAGTAGTAGTTACTCCTCCACACGGACAAAAGCTGCGTTGTCAGATCCATCTAAGTTTATAGGCAACCTATAATCAGGCAGAGTATGAAGGGTTAATCCATGCCGTACAAACGTTATTATGCAACGATGCAACTCATGCAAAGGTGATTGGAGATTCCGCTTTAGTCATTGGGTAGATGAAGAAGTTAATGGATTGCAATGATGGCATCATGTCTAAATACGCAGCTGTCGGTGATGTCATTGCTTCTCGATTTCAACTTATTGAGTTTTACAATGTCGAGAGAGAATTTAATGCTGATGCCAATGAAATGGCACAATTAGCTTTTGGATATCTCAAAACGCCACTTGATCCAGGTATTGCTTATGACACCGTGGATGTCGACGCTTCAGTGTATGTTCGATACCATCCATTGGATGTCCTCTTTGTTGCAACCATTGCTGCAACAGAAGATCAGCATACACCAATAATAAAGGTCTTACCGGACCCAACTCATCATACCCCATTATCTATACGGCAACAAGCACCTGACTTTCTTCTGTTGCAATGGCAGTTATATCGGAAAACAGCAGATTAGGTTTTGTTTCGATGATTAGCCAAAACAAGAGTACATGGTGTTGATGCTGGAAACGCATGAAGGGTTCTGTGGAGCACATCAAGGCGGACGTAAAATGGCTTGGTTGCTACACCGCCACGGTTATTTTTGGCCAACTATGACCCAAGATTGTATCAATTTTGCTAGAGGCTGCATTAATTGCCAAAAACACGCAGATATTTCCCATACACATCCAAAGCTAATTCAATTCATAGTCAAACCATGGTGATTCCGTTTTTGGGTTTTAGATGTTATTGGCATAATACATCCACCATCATCTTCTGGGCACCGTTATGTTTTGGTCGCAACAGATTATTTCACCAAATGGGTAGAAGTAGTACCTCTGAATGATGTTGATCAATAAGTAGTCATATTTTTCCTCCAAGAACATATCATCTATAGGTTTGGATTACCTGAAACAGTTATCACAGATCAAGCACAGTACTTTGTCGGCCAGGACATGGTGCAGTTCGCCATAGACATGGGTTTTACCTTAACACATTCTTCACCATATTTCACGCAGGGCAACGGTCAGCCTAAGTCAACCAATAACATATTGAAAGGCATCATCCAGAAAATAATTTCTGATAATCCAAGACAATGGCATGATATCCTACGAAAGGCATTATGGGCATACCGAGTGACACAGCGGGGTAGTACCAAGGCAACCTCGTATGAATTAGTTTATAATCATGATGCCATTTTGCCCATTGAACATTTTTTGCCATCTCTCGGCATTAATCAGCAATTTCCCTTAGATTCAGCCGATTACGCCACAGCAATGTAGATTGATCAAGATAGATTATCACAGAGCCGAAATTCAGCAACATCCAATATCATGAACCAAAAGGCTGGAATCATCCGTGCTTACAACAAATTTATTCGACATAAGTATTTTAATGTTGGTACCAAGGTATGGAAAGCTATTTTGCCTTTGGGATACAAAGATCGTGCTTATGGTAAATAGAGCCCTACTTGGGAAGGCCCTTACGTCATACACCGGCATTTAGGACAGGGGTATACATTTTGAATGACATGGATGGAACAATTGCAAATAGATCTATCAATGCCACATTTTTGCGAAAATACTTTGCTACTGCATGGGATCAACTCAACAATGAAGAGCAATACTTGACAAGGGATATTGCCAATAATAGATATACTTAAGCAGCAAAGATGTTTATTACTAACAAAAGAACAAAAGTTTGTTTTGTGCAGGAACATAGTCGCTGCAAAGTTCATCAACACTACCAAACAGACGAACAAAAGCATAAACGTCTACAACCCAAGGAGTACCACAACAAATGCTATCTAAGCAGAAGGAGATGGTGGTGGTACAGCTTCATAAGGAGCACTCTGCAACGTCTCAACCTCCAATGGCTCTTCATCTTCTAGTGGCACATCTTGTTGGGCTTCTATTGTTGTGCTGCCTCCTTCCACAGGTGCAACCACTTCTGTTTGTCCTGGGTGCAAATGATCCATGGTCGCAGGAGAATTTGGCGTTGTTCCTGCATTATGCATCAAATGAGTGATTGTGCTTTTCAAGAAATTCCAACTTGTCTGAGCTCCTTTCACCACCTGCTGTGAATCTTGTGCTTGGGATGAAGTTTTGCTACCGTTTCAGTCATACTCCCATACTGACCAAGTGCAACGTGAATGTCTGCCACAACAACACCCAAGGTGGATTCTAATTCAACCCGTCTAGCTTGCACTTTCTCAAGCTTGGCCACCAAGTCTGCTTCTTCTGCCATTTTCTTCTTAATCTCAGCTTCTAGTTGCGCCGCTTGGTCAACCAGTTGCTCTGACAGCAGTTTGTTCTTCTCATGCAAGGCATAGGCGGCGTGATATTCCTCTATGTGTGGTACACAGACTTGACATTCTACCTGCTTCTGTGTTGCCTCTGCCAAGATCAGTCGAATCGCCGCTGCCATGCCCTCATCAATTGGAGACGCTTGGATCATAGACAACAAGGTTTTTAGCTGGTCATATCTTGTGCTGTGTACTAATTCTGCCGGCAACTGGAACATTTCTGCAATCTGTTGCAAAGCAGCGCCTAAGGGGATGTCAGGGACAATAGATGCTGAGTCTACCCTAATGTATGCGGTTGCCTTTGTTTGTTCCAGATGAGCCATCAGAGCTGCAACAGATGGGGGAGCTTTTTTCCCAGAACCTGTTTGGGTAGATGAAGTCGCTACCTTAAATTTTTTCTTGCTCTTCGCCCTGTCGGATTCCGAAACAACCTTTTTGGGAGCAACGCTTTCCCGAAGTACAACTAACTCTTCATCACTTTCCTAACTGTTAGATTTATCATCACTACCACGGGCAGTCACCGAATTTTCCTGTAACACGGATACAACAATCAAAGTTGATACAAAATCTATTCTAGCATGGTGACAACTTAACTGGGCTACTATACCTTGTTGATGGGTTCACTTGCAGAACGTGTCTACCCAATCAGTCTAGTAAACCGACGAGTACTGGTTGTTGCTCTTTTTGCAGGAGCCTGCTTGGTTTTCCTCCCTGTAGCAGTAGGGGTTTTCTTGGTCTTTTATGGACCAGTTTTAGCTTTTCCACTCGCCTTACTCTTCCCTGCAATGGAGACACTTAGACACCTATGCACATGAAAGCTGCAACAATAGCAAGTCAACAGCAGGTATCCTACCTTTAAGATTAGCGTCAGCTTCAACTGCAACAGTTTTGGGTTTCACATATTTCCTGATACGGGATGCGTTCTTCATTGCATCATAACCAGCACCATACAGAGTGGTTGAAAGTTCTCCCCACCATGCTGTAAATCCAAGAGTCGTATCAAACAGAACTTGAAAGGAGTAATGGGAGATGTTCTGCCATGCATTACCATCAACTCCCTGTGAGCTTCATATTGCGCCATGGTCAATTTCTCCCCGCCAAGTTTTCCTATGTTCCAACCAGATACTTCAAAAGGTGGCACGCTTTGCGTAAAACCAAATTGGGTGGCTACCATGTTAGCCGGGTAATATTCTGCATGCATATTAGCACCAATATTGTGGGATTGCACACTCTTACCATAAAAGATGTCCCTTGCTGAAAGAAGAGGCTCCACACGAATGTCGAGCCAAATATGCCAATGTTATCCCATTTACCACTTTCTGTCTCCGAATGACAAATATTGCCAAAGCTCTTATGCCACCAATCGTGACTCGGTTGCTGCATCGTCACCCTTATGTTTGGGCTTGACTCGAAGACAGTTTTGAAAGATTGCGTTCCATTGAAGTTCGGCTTGATGTACTGTTGCACCCCAAGACACAAGGGTTCTCCACTCTCAACAGGAAAAATCCCTTCTGGTTTCAGACTTGGAAAATAAATACACAACAAAAAATGCAACAACCAAATGGGACCACATAAAGTTGAACCCAGATTATGCCTGGCTTCGTGGAGACTACGATAAAGCATTGCCAGAGCAGCTTCATCCAAATTTATTTGTTCTCCAGAAGCTAATCTACCAGCCACATGATACGAATCCACAGTCATCTGAAAAGATTTACTAGGAAACACATACATGTTCAACCACAGAGCCAAAATCGAATATGGTGTAAGCGACCAAACTTCCCTTTGTTCTCGTTGATAAAGGGGCCATAACTCCTTGGGTGACCTGCCGCCGCTACAGCTGCATCACTGATATGCTTAAAATTGACCTATTCTTAATATCCTTTTATGTGAAATTTTACCAATATTTTGAGTACAAATATGTTATTTATATGATTTTATCTCTATTTGTAGGTTTTGTACTCAAATGGAAGAATTGTTGAGATTTTGGACTAAAATGAAGACAAAAGCAACTCAAAGGGAGAATTGAAGATTTGATAAATTGAAAAAGAAGAAATTGAAGTACTTGAAGAGTTGGAGGAATTTTAATGTAAATTGGCTTGAAAAAAGAATAACTTTCTTATTCCTGAAGAAATAGGGTTTGACGAAAGCCTATAAAAGGAGGATTAGGGCTTTATTTTTGGGACAGAACTTAACCGAACCTCCACCGGAACCAAGACTCGGCGGAAGCTTTTTCTTTGCTCACCCCACGCCGACCACCATCTCCACCACCTTGCTTCCTTGCTACCTCGCCGACCTCCACCATCATCAGCCCTTGATCATCATCATCACCGAAGCACACACCTCACCTTTCCTCCACTCCCACGCACCACTTTAATCAGCACCACCGCCGAGACCACACCAGCACCCTCACATTTCCACTAGCCTCCATCAACCCCTTCAACACCAACTTCACGCCACACCATCATCGTCAATGCATTATCACCATCATCTTTAGGAGGGGAAAGCACGGACCGAAAGCAACTCCCAGGTTCCATTGTTTTAATTATTTTAATTTCAAGATAATGTGTAGCTAATTCTTTTAACCTAGGGTTTGGATGTAGCCGCCGGATTTATTTTGTTTATTTGGTTCATTATTATTTGACTTTTCCATTAATTAATATTTGTTATTATTTTTTTAATTCGTGTAAGTAGTTGGCCACTATTTACATGTCTGAAGATACTAATCGAAGTAGCGAGAGTGAAAGATTCGTGGAAATAATAGACTTAGGTTGTAAACTACAAGAGTAAGATTATAACCTTTTCAATGTTTGATTCTTAGTGATCTTAATGTGCTTTTGTTAAATCCCTATAATCATGAGAGTAGTCATAGGGTTAATCTAAGTAAGAGAATTATAACACTAGAGTGTATAGTTCTTAATTAGGTGAGTCGTTGTGAGATTAATGGAAGTTAAAAGTCAAATACTTATAAAGTGAACCAAACAAAATATTCGGTAGGTGACCCCAATGTCCTAGGTTTTCCCAACTTGATTGTTTCAACCTTTGGAAGTAATTGCATACTTTAGATTCTAGCTTTAGTTTTATTTTAATTGAAAATCTGAGATTATCATTTATCTAGATAATAATAGGAGTAATTTATACCTGATAATTAGTATTCCTTCTCTGTAGGTACGACCCTATTTTCCGCTATACTAGTGTTAAGTAGGTGAAATTTATTTGACTAGTTGTGACGACGCCTTGTCAAATTTGGCTCCGTTGCTGGGGAAGGCAACGGAGATGCAAGTGAGTCATAGGAAGTCTGAAATCAACCCTCGTGAAAATTGTAGTGCTATCATGTTGAGAAGTGGGAAGCAGTTGGGTGACAAGGAGGAACCAAAGACCACTGAAGTGAATGTGACCACTGATGAGAAGAAAGAAGAGAGTAAAAAGAGTGATGAAGAAAAAGTGGAGAAAGTGGAACATGAAGAAGAAAAGATATATGTGCCACCACCACTTAAACCTTATGTTCCACCAGTGCTTTTTCCACAGAGACTCCATATGACCAAGCAAGATAAGCTATTTGAGAAATTTCTGAAAATTTTTAGGCAATTGCATATTAACAATCCTTTTGCAGATGCTTTAGCTCAGATTCCTACTTATGGGAAGTTCTTGAAGGAGATCATCTCCAACCGAAGGAAAGTGGAAGACTTTGAGAAAATTGCATTATCTGAGGAGTGTAGTGATGTTATTCAAAAGAAGTTGCCTCCAAGATTGAGTGATCCAGGGAGTTTCTCTATTCCTATCTCTATGGGTGATGTTTGTTTTGATAAAGCTTTATGTGATTTAGGTGCTAGTGTTTCATTGATGCCTTTATCTGTTTGTAGAAAGCTTGGGTTGAAACATTTGAAACCAACTAACATCACTTTGCAATTAGCTAATAGATCCATAACTCATCCGAAAGGAATTTTGGAAAACATTCTAGTAAAAGTGAAGAAGTTTAATATCCCTGTTGATTTTTTTGTGTTAGATATGGAAGAAGATGCTAATGTGCCAATAGCCATAGCTGGTGCTGTTATAGATGTTAAAGAAGGGAGTTTAAAATTTCATATTGGAGAAGAATCTGTGGATTTTACTTTTTCTGAAAATTACAAATGCCCTGCATTTATTCATCATGTTTAGGGTAGATATTCTTGAGGAGCTAGATAAAACTGATGTTTTCATTGCTAATTCTAAAGATCCTCCTGATATATGTATCAGTAATGTAGGCACAGATAGAAATGGAAGAAGAATGATATATGAAAGAGTTTCACACTCTTTGATTGAGCGTCCACCTGATTGATTAGCCATAAAGTCCGGCTCATGACTTTAAAGAAGTGCTTCTTGGGAGGCAACCCAATTATTTATTTTGCTTTATTTTTCTTTTTCTTTCATTAATCAGTTGATGGTTAAGTTTTTTTGTTTCTGATTATCTGGAGATCTTTGATTTCTGAATTTTCATGGTTTTTCTTAATCATCTGTTTTTTTAGGTTTGTTTTTCTAATTTATTTTAGTTTGCAATTAAGTTTGTTGGAAGGGTGAAACTCTGGTGTCCAGTGGTGCTGAAAATGAAACATCCAAAATTCTGAACAAATTGGTCGTGTGCTTGGATAGCAGTTGCAACAGTTTATTCAACAATTCCAGTCCTCCGCTTCACATTCCAAGGTTGTGTCGTTTCTTTTCATTTCTTTTATTTTTGTATTTTCTTATCTTTTCACTTGGTTGTCTTGTCTTTTGTGTTTTATACATTGAGGGCAATGATGCTTCAAGTGTGGGGGAGAGGAATATTTGTGTTTTGTGTTTATCTTTCTTAAAAAAAAAAAAACCCCATAAAAAGGCCTATGATGAAGATGGTTTAATTATCTATAACATGTAAGAATTATACTATTTTGAGTTGTATTACTTAACTTATGTATTTCTATATTGCTTTGAATACCCTGTTTTTTATGCACTTAGTCGTGACTGTGGGATAAGCGTAAAGTAAGATATAGTTGCATGAGTTTGATGTAGATATGCTATGAAAAGTTGTGTTTGATTCACTCATACTTATATGATTTGTATGTGGAACCCATCATGTTGTGAAGGAAAAGCAAAGCATTAACCCAATATCAGCCTTAAAAACCATATTGCTTTGACACTTTGTGTTAAGTAAGTTTGAGGGAGGGGTGTTGGCGGATGTTTCTGAGGTTAGGTTAAATTTAATGAGGGAGGAAAGGAAGAGCATTCAATGTTGATGCTAGCCCCATTGAGAGGTGAGGAATCGGCAACCTGAGCGGAGAGTTCTCAGGCCCGGTGAGGAAAAATAGATATATAGATTGCCCTAAATTGCTGAGGCACTATGTATAGGAGTGGAAAAATGCTCTGGGTAGTGGCCTGAGTTGGAAAGAGTCCTGAAGAAAAGTCGCATGGACCGAAGAATGGGTTACGAGGGGGAACAGGTTGTCTGTGAGATAAGTCCTTCTACTGCATAGTATGTTTGGCGGTCCATTGCATTGAAAGATGGTATGAAATGTGAGTCTGTTGTTAAAGTAAAATGGCATATTTGCAGTAGAGCTTTTGTTTTCTATGTTAAATGTAAAGTGATGTCTCTAAGAAACGAATCGCACACACACACACAAGCGTGGGGGCTAAAAGTGCATATAGTTTGCATTTTGTTAGGTAGTGTATATTAGAGGTAGTCGAGGTCTTTGTGTAATATGATATTGAATCTCTGAGGCCGCTGAATTAAATAACTAAATGTTTTTGTTTGTTTTAATTCTTGGGCATGCTTGAGGACAAGCAATATTTCAAGTTTGGGGATATCTGATATGCTTAAAATTACCTATTCTTAATATCCTTTTATGTGAAATTTTGCCAATATTTTGAGTACAAATATGCTATTTATATGATTTTATCTTTATTTGTAGGTTTTGTACTCAAATGGAAGAGTTGTTGAGATTTTGGACTAAAATGAAGATAAAAACAACTCAAAGGGAGAATTGAAGATTTGATAAATTGACAAGGAAGAAATTGAAGCACTTGAAGAGTTGGAGGAATTTTAATTTAATTTGGCTTGAAAAAAAATAACTTTCGTATTCCTGAAGAAATAGGGTTTGACGAAAACCTATAAAAGGAGGATTGGGTTTTATTTTTGGGACAGAACTTAACCGAACCTCCACCGAAACCAAGACCCGGCGGAAGCTTTTTCTTTGCTCACCACATGCCGACCACCATCTCCACCACCTTGCTTCCTTGCTACCCCGCCGATCTCCACCATCATCAGCACCTTAATCATCATCATCACTGAAGCACACACCTCACCTTTCCTTCACTCCCACGCACCACTTTAATCAGCACCACCGCCGAGACCACATCACCACCCTCACGTTTCCACCAGTCTCCATCAACCCCTTCAAGACCAACTTCGCGCCACACCATCATCGTCAACGCATTATCACCATCATCTTTAGGAGGGGAAAGCACGGACCGAAAGCAGCTTCCGGATTCCATTGTTTTAATTATTTTAATTTCAAGATAATGTGTAGCTAATTCTTTTAACCTAGGGTTTGGATGTAGCCGCCGGATTTATTTGGTTTATTTGGTTGATTATTATTTGACTTTTCCATTAATTAATATTTGTTATTCTTTTTTTAATTCGTGTAAGTAATTGGCCACTTTTTACATGTCTGAAGATACTAGTCGAAGTAGCG